ATGTGTTGGTTTCCCTGACAATAATGTCCATCAGGAGTTCATCGAAGAATAACTGAAAGCATTCCAGTTCAGTAGCATTGTTCCCAAGTGTACACGATGGCCGTATTCCACTTTGTGTTTCATCAAAGTCATGGGGACTGGGAACAAACTTGTCACCTTGCTGCTAAAATCCCAGATGTGGGTTCTGGATATTGAAATGTGGTTGTGCAGGTTGAGGGAATGTGGGGTTGGGTGAGGCTAGTTGTGCAGAGTCAGCAGCGTGGGTAGTAGCAAGGCCCGCTGCCGGTGCCACATGACTCGTGCCACCATCACTATCACCACCACCACCTGCTGCCTCACTCACATCATTCATACTCATCGTAACAATATCGTCATCTTCACTATCAGGTCATGGTGTAGGGCCACGGGATGTGCTCCGAGATTTACTCCTTCCCCTTGGAACAGCATATGAAACACTACCAGACTGCATGCTACATCGTATATAATGCTACTTCACTGGGGAATATTCACCCTCACTGTCACAACTAGAACTGCTTTCAATAACTTTGAAATCACTATCACTATCACTCTCACTGCTCACATTTGAGTCTTGTACACGGGCAAATAGTTTCCTCTTTTGTCCTGCTACAGGTGAACGTGAACGAGCCGGCCCAGCACCAGAGGTGGAAGGTCGTGGGTCATCTGGGTTTTCATCACTAATTACGTTATCCTCGGCACTTTTTTCAGCCACACCCGCTTGAAAACCATGGAATTCACCTTCACTGACACTTCCATCGCTGTTAGAGCTATCACTTGGGAACAAAACACCTCCAATCCGTCGAGGAGTGAGGTACTTCTTACTGCGAGGCATGGTGAAAATGGACTACCAATATGGCATTCCCACAATGCACCACTGAGTCCCAGATTTTTTCATAGTGTGCACACCCACCACTCAAACCCATTCTCTCTCATGTAGGCCTACCAGCTTTCTCCTGCTTGATTTGAAGCCACTAGAATTTACGCGTATAAATATGTCAGAAACAGTGGCGTGTAAGACGTATATATATGACGTAAACAGTCAAAGGGTTAATGAGAAAAAAAAACTCTGACCGTGTTTTTCGATTAAAATGCCAAATTTGTGGTTTATTTTCGTATAGTATTTATGGTTGTATTCTCGTTTTCTTGGTCTCATTTGATAGAATGGAAAACATATTATAGAAATAGAGGTGATTTTGATTGGTTTTACTATGAAAAGAACCTTGAAATGGAGCTCAAAGTAGGGGAAATGTTTGATTTTTGCCGATGTTCAAAAGTAAACAAATGATGTCATTGTCCAATAAATGTCCAGCTAGCCATTCTAATATGCAGTCATGAATGGGTTGACATTATTTATACAATTATTACATTATTGCAGTAGTCTGCATAACAGTAAATCTTCTATTTTTTGTTTGAATAAAAATTCAAAATAGAAAGCAAGAGTAATATCAGCGGGGCCTGGAGACGTGACTGATGAACACAGAAAATGTTATTTTAGAGCCAGGAATGTCTGCATTGTTCATTCTGAACCCTATTTTGAAATTGACAATTTTTTTTAATTTGCGTGAAATTGGCCAAATTGCAAATTTCTGACCACGTTATTGGGTAGTTGAAATCAGTAAATGGGCAGTTTCTTGTTCTCAATTGATAGAAAAAATGGAGTTCTAAAGAAATAGCTATGAGTTTTGTCAACTGGAACAATGGAATTAGCCAAAAAATAGGGCTCAAAGTGGGCGAAATCGCCGATTCGTAAATATTGCCGAGGTCGCTGACTTTGTGAGAGTGTAATTCTGCAAGTTCTCTATCAAATTTCATTCATTTGGTGTCATTACCATCGGGAGAAGATTCTCTATCATTTCATAAGAAAAATAATTTTTTTTTTTTGGCACCAGGAGACACCTCAGGATTTGGGGTTGTGACAGTCAAAGGGTTAATCCTACCCCTCTTCCCAACACCCTAGTATTTACTTCTTTTACAACCTTATCTTTAAATATGAAAACAACCATGGTGACCTTACACATCCCTGTCTAACACTTACTTTTACCTCCCTGGCCAGTGCATGAAATTTCTGCCTCCCTGTCTTCATCAACATTTAAAAGTTCCTCAAAATATTCCTGCCATCTACCCAATACCTCCAGCTCCCCATCTACTAATTCCCCTACTTTGTTTTTAACTAACATCCACTTGTTCCCTAGGCTTTCTTAACTTGTTTATCTCAAAAAATTTTTCTTATTCTCAGCAAAATTTCTTGACAGTGCCTCTCCCACTCTATCATCTGCTCTCCTTTTGCACTCTCTCACCACTCTCTTCACCTTTCTTTTACTCTCCATATACTCTGCCTTCCTTATATCACTTCTGCTTTGTAAAAATTTCTCATAAGCTACCTTTTTCTCTTTTATTGCACCCTTTACCTCATCATTCCACCAATCACTACTCTTTCCTCCTGCACCCACCCTCCTATAGCCACAAACTTCTGCCCCACATTCAGATACTGCATATTTAAAACTATCCCATCCCTCTTCAACCCCCCCCCCCTCTCCATAGCCATACTTGCACTAGCCCACCTTTCTGTCAATAGTTGCTTATATCTCACCCTAACTTCCTCCTCCCATAGTTTGTAAATTTTCACCTCTCTCTTACTTTTACCATTTTCCTTTTGTCCCATCTACCTCTTACTTTAACTGTAGCTTCAACTAGATAATGATCCGATATATTCGTTGCCCCTCTATAAACATGCACAGTAGGGCCCCACTTAAACAGCAGGTAAGGTTCCAGGTTACCACCAGAAAGCAGATGTAGCCGGAATGCAGAACACCATTTTTTCCACTTATAAATAGCAGATAACAAGTTTACAATAACATATATTAAGTTAGCAATAGAACTAGGCATTAAAAACAATAAAAGTAAAATACACACAGTACATCCATTGCTTACCTTAAAATATTTGTAGTCATAATGTAGGGTGAGAGGTGAGTAGTATTTATAGGAAGTCAGGTGTGGGAGGTATGGTAGCCAGCCAGGACACTCCACCCACACTTAATATACAGTGGAACCTTGACTTACGAGTACCCCAGCATTCGAGTTTTTTGAGATACGAGCTGTCGCTCGGTTGATTTTTTGCTCTGAGTTATGAGCCAAAATCTGAGTTACGAGTGAGCTTGTCCCTCAACCCACAACCCACACACCTCGCTTGTGTTTACCTATGATTTCATTCTTTAATTCCATGGACATCATCCTCTTTTTCTTCTCAGCACTGTCCTTTGCACTTACTTTCTTAGGACCCATGGTTAGAAAAAAGAAATTTGGCAAAATAACTGTACAAAATGCAAGCAAAACATGGGAGAAATGCTTCCATGGCAAGGAAAACACGTGCACTGCTCAGTATGTTTTGGCATTCGCTGCGTCAATTAGTGGCGGCGTTCTGAAGCTCCTCGTTATTATTATTTTTTTTTTCCAACAAACCGTCCGTATCCCACCAAGGCAGGTTGAGCTAAAAAGAAAAACAAAAGTTTCTCTTTTTAAATTTAGTAATTTATACAAGAAAAAGGGTTACTAGCCCCTTACCCCCAGAATTTTAGTCACCTCTTACAACACGCATGGCTTATGGAGGAAGAATTCTGTTCCACTTCCCCATGGAGATAAGAGGAAACGAACAAGAACTAGAAAGAAAATAGCAGAAAACCCAGAGGGGTGTGTATATATATGCTTGTACATGTATGTGTAGTGTGACCTAAGTGTAAGTAGAAGTAGCAAGATGCACCTGAAATCTTGCATGTTTATGAGACAGAAAAAAAGGACACCAGCAATCCTACCATCATGTAAAACAATTACAGTAGTACCTCCCTGGGCGGTTACTGTTTACCAACCTACTACCTAATGAAAATGTTTATAGTAACATAATATACAACATTCAATGCACCTCAGAGTGGTTATTATTGCATATTATTATTATTATTTTTTTGTTTTTCAACAAGTCGGCCGTCTCCCACCAAGGCATCTTCAAGACTAATAAGACACTCTTAGTGATTTTAACGTGTTCCTGCATGCCAGCACAGTGTGTAAGTTTATTTTGGTACAGGTACACATAAATATAATTATCAGAGTATCTGTAAAACATGAAATAACTTTAAAACACTTGAAATTTTGGAAAGGTTCCAGACACAATGGAGAGACGCAGTGCTCACATAGAATGCAAACAAACCGTATGGGAAGCGGTGACTGTATTAGACAGTCAGGTGGGGGAGCCATATAGCAAGTTTTGGTCATAATTTAAACTGTTCGTATTAATGGAGCGCCGTAAGGCGAAATGCCGTAAAGCAGGGCACCACTGTACATCCTGAAGCCTACCCATCACCCTTTTATCCACCAATACATAATCTAACAAACTATATTTGTTATGTGCTATATCATATTTTGTTTACTTATTTATCCTCTTTTTCATTAATATGTATTACTTATTACACATAGTTCAATTAACCCTTAAACTGTCCAAACATAGATCTACGTTTTTTCAACATTTGAAAGTACATATGTAAAAAAAGTAGATCTTTTTTTTTTTTTTTTTTTTTACATTTGAAAATGTGTAAAAAGAAACTTTGATCTACTTTTTTTGTTGTTATATTTGAAAATATGTAAATAAAACGTAGATCTACTTTTGGAGCATTACGCATGTGAACGTAGATCTGCTTGGACAGTTTAAGGGTTAATGGGTCCCCATTTTCATTTACCCCTTGCACCCCAAATTTACCTTTTACTCCCTCCATATTTTTACCCACTTTAGCATTGAGATCCCCAACCACAAATACTCTCTCACTTGGTTCAAAACTTCCCATGCACTCACTCAACATGCCTAATTAAGAATTGACTTGCAGTTACCAGAATTTATTCACAGCTTTCAGGCTTTCTCTAGCCAAGTTGATATTAAAGGTAATATTAGAATTGCCTAATAATTTGGTCTCATTTTAACCTTCAGTCACTATCAACAGAAATATGAAGAAGAAGCAGAATGGGAAGGTTCAAGAGGGAAAAAAAGAAGAAAAAGAGGAAGAGGTCGAGGTAGAGCTATTGACCCTGAGGAAGAAGTTGGTCTTAATAGTCGAAGCAGGCCTGGGAACTTAAGACAACGTCCAAGAGCTAGGTATAATGACCAGTTTGAGGACTTGGGTTTGTCCTCAGATGAGGAAGTAAAAACTAAATCAAGAGGGAAGAGATCTTGGGTATCAGTCATTAATTCATCTAGTGAGAGTGACTCAGAAAGGGATAATGAAGGAACTGCTAGCACACCATTAGCAGCTGATCCTGATGAGGATGAAGGAGCAGGCAGTAACAGCCCTTTACATCAAGAGAGCCTCAGTCGAGCACAACAAAAAAATCCTAGAACCAAGAGAGGAGGAAAAAAGGTAAGTGTATTCCTCCTTTGCAGATAAGTTTATTAAAGAAAAGTGAGACATAATCTCACCATAAAAATATTCATTATATAAAGTTGAATGGTATTGCTGCTTAGATTTGAAAAAAAAATTGATTGTTAGAATGCCTTATTCATTTGCTCTGTTTAATTTGTTGGTTTTAGTGAGTTACCTTCAAATATTAAGTGACTCTATACACTCCTTCATACCTTGTAATGTATTACAAATCATTAATCAAATTTAAAAGCTTAAGCTTTTTGGGGGTTTTCACGTGATTTTCTAGTATTTGTTTTACAAAAATAGCATTGTTAAAATGCCTCTCTTCAATTGTTTGTAATTTGTTTTTGGTCACCCTACCTCGGTGGGACAAGTGTACCTTTGTGAACATTGTACACATTTCCTTAATCCTTGATGAAGGCAACTTCCTGTCTCTCTTCCTTCTGCTCTGAAGTACATTCCTGAGCTGTGATCTGTTGTTGTTGCACCTCAAGCTCTTGCAGCTCTGCAGTGGTTAGTTCTTCATCGTTGTTCTGCACCAACTCTTCCACGTCCTCGCCACAAACCTCCAGCCCCATGGACTTCCCCAATGACACAGTAGATTCCACAATTGGCATAGGCTCCTGAGGGTTAGCCCCAAACCCTTCAAAATCCCTCTCCTGTACACATTGTGGCCACAGTTTCCTCCAAGCAGAGTTCAAAGTCCTGCAAGTCACTCCCTCCCAAGCCTTACCTATAAGGTTTATGCAACTGAGGATATTGAAGTGATCTTTCCAAAACTTTCTTAGGGTTAATTCAGTGTCTGAGGTCACTTCAAAGAACTTTTGAAACATTGCTTTTGTGTAGTTTTTTGAAGTTTGAAATGACCTGCTGGTCCATGGGCTGGAGGAGAGGAGTTGTATTAGGAGGCAAAAACTTCACTTTGATGAAGCTAAACTTCCCCACAATTTGCTCTTGCAAGTCATGAGGATGAGAAGGAGCATTGTCCATTACCAGGAGGCACTTGAGTTACAATTTCTTTTCCAGTAGGTAATTTTTCACAGTGGGGCCAAACACACTATAAAACCAGTCCAGGGAAATTTCCCTAGTGACCCATTCCTTACTGTTTGCCCTCCACATCACACACAAATTACCCTTGACATTATTGTTTTTCTTGAACACACTAGGAGATTCAGAGTCATAGACCAGTAAAGGCTTCATTTTGCAATCCCTCCTAGCATTACTACACAATATTAATGTTAGCTTGTCTTTCATAGGCTTGTGTCCTGGGAGTGCCTTTTCCTCCTGAGTAATGTAGGTCCTGTTTGGCATTTTCTTTCAAAACAGACCTGTTGCGTCACAAACACTTGTTGGGGTTTTAAATTTTCAGTGTCTATGTACTCCTTAAAGTCCTGCACATATTTTTCAGCTGCTTTTTTGTCTGAACTGGCAGCCTCACCATGCTTTATCACACTGGTATGCCACTACAATTCTTAAATCTTTCAAACCAGCCTTTGCTGGCCTTAAATTCATCAGCAGCAGCACTATTTAGAGGCATTTTTTTAACGAGATCATCATGCAACTGCCTTGCCTTTTCACATATTATTGACTGAGACACACTATCTCCTGATAATTGTTTTTCATTTATCCACACCAACAACAGTCTCTCCACCTGTTCAGTTATTTGCGATCTCCGTTTTGAAAACATACTTGCACCTTTTGCAAAATAGTAGTGATGGTTGAATGGGGTTTGTTATATAGCCTTTCCAACTCAGACATACGCACTCCACTTACATATTTTTCAATCATCTCTTTTTTTCAATTCCATTGTAATTCTCACCCTTTTTACCATAGGGTTGGCACTAGAAGCTTTCTTGGGGCCCATGGTGGCTTATTTAGCAGTTCTTTCTTTCAACACACTGGCCGTATCCCACCGAGGTGGGGTGGCCCAAAAGGAAAAACGAAAGTTTCTCCTTTTACATTTAGTAATATATACAGGAGAAGAGGTTACTAGCCCCTTGCTCCCGGCATTTTAGTTGCCTCCTACAACACGCATGGCTTACGGAGGAAGAATTCTGTTCCACTTCCCCATGGAGATAAGAGAAAATAAACAACAAGAACAAGAACTAGTAAGAAAATACTAGAAAACCCAGAGGGGTGTGTATATATATGCTTGTACATGTATGTGTAGTGTGACCTAAGTGTAAGTAGAAGTAGCAAGACATACCTGAAATCTTGCATGTTTATGAGACAGAAAAATGGACACCAGCAATCCTACCATCATGTAAAACAATTACAGGCTTCCGTTTTACACTCACTTGGCAGGACGGTAGTACCTCCCTGGGCGGTTGCTTATTTAGCAGTTGCGAGCACTAAAAACAATGGAATAATCCAAAATATATCGCAGGTACACATGGGATCGACCACAATGGCTTGTAAACAATGGCACACTGGCTGTACATGGAGTCTTGGAGCGACTGGGCCTGCTCAGGATGCATGGACTCGTTTGGGCCTGAGCAGGCCCAGACGAGTTTTTCGCCATTGGTAGAGCCAATATTTTGATGCCAAAGAGCACCGTTAGTCGATTTTGGCATTAGTTGATGCCACCGTTGGTTGAGGGTCCACTGTATAAGCTGTAGAGTTGATATTAGCGTCATATTTTGTCCTGTGTCCAAACAATAAACTCTCCTCCGCTGCCGGCACCACTACGTAGCCACATACATAACGACATATTTTATTCATTCTAGAGTATATATCAGGTTTCTATGTTGTTTATATTGTTTATTATGTCATATTAAATCAGTTGTGATAAATAATCTGTAGAGTGGATATTAGCGTTATATTGAAGTGTATTTTTCCCTCCTCTGAGTTTACCTGGAGAGAGTTCTGGGGGTCAACACCCCCACGGCCCGGTCTGTAACCAGGCCTCATGGTGGATCAGGACCTGATCAACCAGGCTATTACTGCTGGCTGCATGCAATCCAACGTACGAACCACAGCCCGGCTGGTCAGGTACCGACTTTTGGTGCTTGTCCAGTGCCTGCTTGAAAACAGCCAGGGGGGTCTATTGGTAATCCCCCTTATGTATGCTGGGAGCAAGAATTCAACCGAAATGGATTAATGGCTTTTCAATTAGTAATTTAAATGAGGAAAATTGATTCAAATGAGGATACGAACAAGGTCACAGAATGGATTAAGTTCGTAAGCCAAGGTTCCACAGTATTCCAATTTCAAAAAAGGGTCCAGAATAAACAATGCAGGCATTCCTGGCACTAAACTAACATTTCCTTTGTTTATTAGTTACATTTTCAGGTTTTACAAATAAATTCCATTTTGATTTTTTATTCACATAATAAATTTTTATTCACACCAAAAAATAGAATATTTACTGTTATGCAATATTGAAATAATTGTATAAATAATATCAGCGTATCCGCAAACGTATATTAGACCCACTAACTGGTGTGTATTAGATGCATGATGTGATTTGTTTACTCTTGATCATCAGCAAAAATTGAACATTTCCTCTACTTTGAGCTCAGTTTCAAGCTATTTTCAGTACTAAAACCAATCAAAATCATCTCTATTTCTGTAACATATCTTCCACCCTGAAGGAGGGGTGTTAATGTTGCAGTTTAAAAACTGTAGTGTAAAGTACCCTTCTGGCAAGACAGTGATGGAGTGAATGATGGTGAAAGTTCTTCTTTTTCGGGCCACCCTGCCTTGGTGGGAATCGGCCAGTGTGTTAATAAAAAAAATAAATCTTCCATTCTCTCAAATGAGACCAAGACATCACAAATACGTACAACTGTAAAAAACATACGAAAAAACACCGCAAAGTTGCTGTTTTAATCCAAAAATGTAGTTGCAGTTTTTTTATTATTATTTACTGCATGCTGCAGTATTTGTTTTATGTGGTGCACACTTACCACACTGATTTATTCTCTCATATCTAGGCCCAAATTTACTGCTTACAGTTTATCTGAGTGAGCTGAGCTCAAGCCATAGTTCTTAAGCTTGGACCCAGGCTTCAAAGCCATATAACTATGGGATGGACCCTCAAAGGGTTAACAAGATACCTCACAGAAGCAGCATTAGAAGTATAAATTAGTATATTCCTCAAAGGTAGAAATTTTAACACCAGACTTTTTATACATTTTTTGGAAAGTCCTCAAGTTTTCTTCCTGTTTTCTATTTAATATGTATAGGAGTATTAATTTGTCACCAGACAGTTCTTTATGCCCGTAGTTGCTTTACTAGTATTTGTTGTTTTCATTGGTGTGTAATGTAATGTATCTACTATAACTGTTTCAGAAGCCAACATGTGAGCTTTGTGGCAAAACATTCCAGAATATTGCAGCCCTCAAGGGTCACCGAGCAGTCCATACAAAGGAAAAGGTTAGTCCCCTCCGCTTCTCTCTCTATCTATCTATCTATATCTGTCTTTATCTATATCTATCTATATCTCTATCAGTATCTCTATCAATATCTCTATCACTATCTCTGTCAATATCTCAATCAATATATATATATATTCTTTCTTTCTTTCAACACACCGGCCGTATCCCACCGAGGCGGGGTGGCCCAAAAGGAAAAACGAAAGTTTCTCCTTTTACATTTAGTAATATATACAGGAGAAGAGGTTACTAGCCCCTTGCTCCCGGCATTTTAGTTGCCTCTTACAACACGCATGGCTTACGGAGGAAGAATTCTGTTCCACTTCCCCATGGAGATAAGAGGAAATAAACAAGAATAAGAACTAGAAAGAAAATAGAAGAAAACCCAGAGGGGTGTGTATATATGTGCTTGTACATGTATGTGTAGTGTGACCTAAGTGTAAGTAGAAGTAGCAAGACGTACCTGAAATCTTGCATGTTCATGAGACAGAAAAATGGACACCAGCAATCCTACCATCATGTAAAACAATTACAGGCTTTCGTTTTACACTCACTTGGCAGGACGGTAGTACCTCCCTGGGCGGTTGCTGTCTACCAACCTACTACCTAGGATATATATATATATATATATTTATTTTTTTCTCAACAAGTCGGCCGTCTCCCACCGAGGCAGGGTGACCCAAAAAAAAAAAGAAAGAAAATCCCCAAAAAGAAAATACTTTCATCATCATTCAACACTTTCACCACACTCACACATTATCACTGTTTTTGCACAGATGCTCAGAATACAACAGTTTAGAAGCATATACATATAAAGAACACAACATATCCCCCAAACTGCCAATATCCCAAAACCCCCTCCTTTAAAGTGCAGGCATTGTACGTCCCATTTCCAGGGCTCAAGTCCGACTATATGAAAATAACCAGTTTCCCTGAATCCCTTCACTAAATATTACCCTGCTCACACTCCAACAGATCGTCAGGTCCCAATATCATTCGTCTCCATTCACTCCTATCTAACACGCTCATGCACGCTTGCTGGAAGTCAGAGCCCCTCGCCCCCAAACCTTCTTTACCCCCCTCTTCCAACCCTTTCGAGGACGACCCCTACCCTCCTTCCTTCCCTATAGATTTATATGCTTTTCCATGTCATTTCTACTTTGATCCTTCTCTCTAAATGACCAAACCACCCAACAACCCCTCTTCAGCCCTCGACTAATGCTTTTATTAACTCCACACCTTTTCCTAATTTCCACACTCTGAATTTTCTGCATAATATTTACACCAACATTGCCCTTTAAACGGGCATCTCCACTGCCTCCAACGTCTCCTCGCTGCTGCATTTAAACCCCCCAAGCTTCACACCCATACAAGAGTGTTGGTACTAATATTACTTTCATACATTCCCTTCTTTGCCTCGATAGATAACATTTTTTGACTCCACATATATCTCAATGCACCACTCACCTTTTTTTCCTCATCAATTCTATGATTAACCTCACTTTTCATAAATCCATCCGCCGACACGTCAACTCCCAAGTATCTGAAAACATTCACTTCTTCCATACTCCTCCTCCCCAATTTGATATCCAATTTTTCTTTATCTAAATCATTTGACACCCTCATCACCTTACTCTTTTCTATGTTCACTTTCAACTTTCTACCTTTACACACATTCCCAAACTCATCCACTAACCTTTGCAATTTTTCTTTAGAATCTCCCATAAGCACAGTATCATCAGCAAAAAGTAAATGTGTCAATTCCCATTTTGAATTTGATTCCCCAAAATTTAATCCCACCCCTCTCCCGAACACCCTAGCATTTACTTCCTTTACAACCCATCTATAAATATATTAAACAACCATGGTGACATTACACATCCCTGTCTAAGACCTATTTTTACCGGGAAGTAGTCTCCCTCTCTTCTACACACCCTAACCTGATCCTCACTATCCTCATAAAAACTCTTTACAGCATTTAATAACTTACCACCTATTCCATATACTTGCAACATCTGCCACATTGCTCCTCTATCCACTCTATCATATGCCTTTTCTAAATCCATAAATGCAATAAAAACTTCCCTACATTTATCTAAATACTGTTCACATATATGCTTCAATGTAAACACTTGATCTACACATCCCCTACCCACTCTGAAACCTCCTTGCTCATCCGCAATCCTACATTCTGTCTTACCTCTAATTCTTTCAATTATAACCCTATGGTACACTTTTCCTGGTATACTCAGTAAACTTATTCCTCTATAATTTTTACAGTCTCTTTTGTCCCCTTTCCCTTTATATAAAGGGACTATACATGCTCTCCGCCAATCCCTAGGTACCTTCTCCTCTTTCATACATTTATTAAACAAAAGTGCCAACCACTCCAACACTATATCCCCCCCTGCTTTTAACATTTCTGTCATGATCCCCATCAGTTCCAGCTGCTTTACCCCCTTTCATTTTACGTAATGCCTCACGTACCTCCCCCACACTTACATTCTGCTCTTCTTCACTCCTAAAAGATGGTATACCTCCCTGACCAGTGCATGAAATTACTGCCTCTGTTTCTTCCTTAACATTTAAAAAGTTCCTCAAAATATTCTCACCATCTACCTAATACCTCCATCTCCCCATCTACTAACTCCCCTACTCTGTTTTTAACTGACAAATCCATACTTTCCCTAGGCTTTCTTAACTTGTTTAACTCACTCCAAAATTTTTTCTTATTTTCATTAAAATTTCTTGACAGTGCCTCTCCCACTCTATCATCTGCTCTCCTTTTGCACTCTCACCACTCTACCTTTCTTTTACTCACCATATACTCTGCTCTTCTTATAACATTTCTGCTTTGTAAAAACCTCTCATAAGCTGCCTTTTTCTCTTTTATCACACCCTTTACTTCATCATTCCACCAATCACTCCTCTTTCCCTCCTCCCCCCACCCTCCTATAACCACAAACTTCTGCCCCACATTCTAATACTGCATTTTTAAAACTATTCCAACCCTCTCAACCCCCCCACTACTCATCTTTGCACTAACCCACCTTTCTGCCAATAGTCGCTTATATCTCGCCCGAACTTCCTCCTCCCTTAGTTTATACACTTTCACCTCCCTCTTACTTGTTGTTGCCACCTTCCTTTTTTCCCATCTACCTCTTACATCTAACTGTAGCTACAACTAAATAATGATCCGATATATCAGTTGCCCCTCTATAAACATGTACATCCTGGAGCCTACCCATCAACCTTTTATCCACCAATACATAATCTAATAAACTACTTTCATTACATGCTACATCATACCTTGTATATTTATTTATCCTCTTTTTCATAAAATATGTATTACTTATTACCAAATCTCTTTCTAACACATAGCTCAATTAAAGGCTCCCCATTCACAATTTACCCCTGGCACCCCAAATTTACCTACTGCTCCCTCCATAACATTTTTACCCACTTTAGCATTGAAATCCGCAACCACCATTACTCTCACACTTGATTCAAAACTCCCCACGCATTCACTCAACATTTCCCAAAATCTCTCTCTCTCTCCTCTACACTTCTCTCTTCTCCAGGTGCATACACGCTTATTATAACCCACTTTTCACATCCAATCTTTATTTTACTCCACTTAATCCTTGAATTAATACATTTATAGTCCCTCTTTTCCTGCCATAGCTTATCCTTCAATATTATTGCTACTTCTTCTTTAGCTCTAACTCTATTTGAAACCCCTGACCTAATCCCATTTATTCCTCTCCACTGAAAATCTCCCACCCCCTTCAGCTTTGTTTCACTTAAAGCTAGGACATCCAGCTTCTTCTCATTCATAACATCCACAATCATCTCTTTCTTATCATCTGCACAACATCCACGCACATTCAGACTTCCCACTTTGACAATTATTTATATATAGATATATATATTATATATATATACAGTGGACCCCCGGTTAACGAACTTTTTTCATTCCAGTAGTATGTTCAGGTGCCAGTACTGACCGAATTTTTTCCCATAAGGAATATTGTGAAGTAGATTAGTCCATTTCAGACCCCCAAACATACACGTACAAACGCACTTACATAAATACACTTACATAATTGGTCGCATTTGGAGGTGATCGTTAAGCGGGGGTCCACTGTATAAATATATATTATATATATTATATATATATTATATATATTATATATATTATATATATTATATATATTATAATATATTATATATATATTATATATATATTATATATTATATATATATATATATATATATATATAATATATATATAATATATATAATATATTATTTTTTTTTTTTTTTTTTTTTTTTTTTTTTTTTTTTTTTTTAACAAGTCGCCGTAGAAGTGTTTGGAAAGGAGGGAGTAAAAAGGGAAAAAAGAGAGGGGGTTAAGAGAGGGTGAAGAAATGTAAAAAGAGAGCAAATGAGAGGGGGGGGAGATGTTATCAAAAAAATTTTGTTAAAAATAAGAAAAATTTTTGGGAGTGAGATTAACAAGTTAAAAGCCTAGAGAAAAAATGGTTTTGTCTTTTAAAAATGGAGATGAATTTTTAAAATGGAGAGTTAGATGTTTTGGGGAAAGATGGGGGGATATTTTGGGGAATTGTTAAATATTGATAAAGTGGGGAAGCGTGTTTCGTGTATGGGAAAGGGGAGGAATAACATCTTGTGGGAGTGAGGAAGAGCCAGTTGGGGGGGGGGGGGGGAAATTGGAGGATAAGAAAAAATAAAAGGGGGTAAGGCAGCGGGGTTGAGGGGGATAAAGATAGAAATTTTTAAAAAAGCAGGGGGGGAATATTTTTGGGAGGGGTTTGGGTGAAATTATTTAATAAAGTATGGAAGAGGGTAAGGTCTGGGGATGGCAAAGCAGCATTTTCCCTTTGTAAAAAGGGCAAAGGGGACAAAGGAGAGCAAAAATAGGGGGGGAAAATCTGTTAGTATACTGGAAAAGTGTATGGTAGTTATTTTTGAAAGAAT